TCAGTGTGCTAAGTGTAATACACGCTTAGACGATCATGTATCTTTTGATACATGACTGACAAGGCAGATTTTTTCCCGTATTAGGTTGCCATTTCTTTCTGCAGTAGACCAGTTGCCATCCAAGGCTACAGAACCCGGTATGTCCTGCAATTTACTCATAGCTGGAGGGAGAAGAGGATTCATGCCTTTCCCAAGGGTATTAGGACGTAAGTGAATGTAATGAATTCGACTGGAAGGTCAGTTAGTCAGTTATGTGCCATGCGTGATACACGCTTAGGCGACCATGTATCATTCGATACATGACTGACGAGACAGATTTTTTCCCGCAGTAGGTTGCCATTTATTTCTGCAGTTGACCAGTTGTCACCCAAGGCTATAGAACTCGATCTGTTCTAGCTGGGAGAATAAGAGGATTCAAATCTTTCCCAAGGGTATCAGCACATAAGTGAATGTAACTGATTCGACTGGAATTCGAACTCGACTCTCCGATTCCTCAATCTGAGCCGCTATCCATTACTCCACCGTGCCTCCTCCGACATTACTTCGTCGATTATCCGTAGCGCGATTATCCGGACTTTGTTTATCCGTACCGGAAATGACGTGAAATAGTGAAACCATCCGAACTTTTTTCAACTAAACCTGTTTTTATATTTCATCACAGACAGCGTTTTGAGAATTTAGAAAAACATAGTCTATGTTTAGTGAAAGCGTTGATGAGTTAAGTTCAATTAATTGTTGTTCCTTTACTCTTTGTTTTAATATTGTCATCCATTTGATTTACAATCACTTGATCATGCCAGAGATTATGGATATTAGTTGCGTTTGAACTGCCAAAAATTGACGTATTTCTTCATTAAAAAATAAACCAGATAAAACATTTTAGAATATTATTTAATGATATGAACGTTGTAATTTCCTTTAGAAAAGGACGTTTTTCTTCAGTCATATTCGATAATTTAAATATTCAACTATCCGAACATATTTTTAAACCTCTGTGCCAAAATTTCCGGATAATAAAAGAAGAATCCTATTTGGTGTTATTCATGTTTCTATTTTAATATCCGCTTTCCTATTACAAAATCACCGTCATTATGATTGACATTATCATCATTTATTTTCACCACACTAAACAACAAATCAATGTGGTGTTAACGCAACTGTAATCTGTGACCCCAGAATGGTTTCGGTGAGCAAAACTCAAATTCTGGCCTCGTCTGTTGTGTTCACTTTCACACAAAGACCTCGGGAAACGTTTGAATCAATCTCTTCTCCCCATTTCCCCCCAACTATAGGTTAGATGGAAGAGTAGATTGAGCTCTATAGCTTTTGATCGAGCCTAGACTAAGTTGAATTCAAAATCCTAGAGGTGGCACCTGAGGAACGATTCATTTGACTTTTCTGAAAAAACAGTTTTCTCTCTTCTCAAAATACTCTCTTTTCAATACTTCTTCTTCTTCTTCTTCTTATTATTATTATTATTATGTGACGTCGTCCCCCCTGGTCGCAGTGTCGACTGTGTCGTTCGATCCCGTTCGCGACGCCAGCTGTTCGCTCCTCGCTGCTCCAAGTGTGACGTTCTAACCCTTTGGCTAGATGAATACCAGCCTCGTTGTTCCCAACCCACTTCCAACGCCTGGTTACCAGGGTAACTACACTGATCTCCGGTCTGTCTACCCACGTTGTGACTAGATCTTGACAGACGGGATCAAACAGGGGATTGGGCCGTATGCAAGCTGAGTCCAACGGGGGTGATAACACACAAGATAAATAAAACTCACAAGGTCAAAAAAATATTGAGAAAAAGGTAACAACTTTTTTATATCTAATTGTTCGCTACACAAGATTATTCCTACCTCCCTGACCTGTTCTGTGGACCGTGGCACCACGCTTCTACCATACAACTTTAAGGCTTCGAGTTGCTTGCTCTCTAGAAATTTGCATTTCAGGGGTGTGGTTTGGTTTCAACACTGGGCGCTGATCTCTACCTGTCGTTCGGCTGATTTCTCTCGCCGTCCGTGGCTGCAACTAACTCTCTCTTCAGAGTCTGAATTATTGTTCACTCATCTCTGCCGTCAGTGCGCGAATTAACTTCTTCTCTTCGGCTTCGGTTGGACGAGCTCATTCACTTCGGCTTGGGTTGGGCGAATTTCTTCACTTCGGCTTGGGTTGGACGAATTTCTCACTTCGACTTGGGTTGGACGAATTTCTCTTCTTAGGCCAAACGAACCGGCCTTTCTTGCCCGCAAGGGGGCGAATGAACCGGGCCCGCAGCCCGCGCTGCAACTGCTTTTTCTCTTCAGGCTTGGTTTGATTCCAACTTCTCCACTTAGGCCAAACGGGCTGCTTCACTTCGGCTTCTCTTGCCCGCAAGGGGGCGAATGAACCGGGCCCGCCGCCCGCGCTCAAACTCCCTCGCCGTCCGCGCTGCAACTCCAACTGATTTCTGTCGGTTGGGGTCCCGCTTTTATTGAGGCAGTCAAAAACTGGGGTGGGTCTGTCGGCGCCAGTGTTTTCTTGATAATTCTAAAGACGTATTATTTCTGATTAGGGATTTTCCACCCTCGGCAACTCACTTTCACTCCTACTTCCTTACTGTGCCTCTGGGAGGGGGAGGCGTATACCCGCTTCCCCTGGTCCTTCGTATGTCAGGTGACCGCTCTCGACCAATGGGGTCCTGGTCGGGCATCTTTCCTCCTCCCTCGCACATCATGTGACTGCTCTCGGCCAATGAAGCTCTGGTCGGTATCTTTCCTCCTTCCTTCGTGACGTCTTTAATCGGGCGTGGACAATCCGTGGCTTTGTTCTGGGGGGGGGGACACCTTGCTTAAAAAAACAAAAACTTAAACTGTCCTTTTCGTACTTGACTGAAATAACGATCCCGGTTTCTTTTACACGCGGTATCTGTCAAACAGCCTACCGCTAATTGGATACGATCTAAGAAAAGAATTTCTTAGACCTGTCGGCGTTTCTCTGAACGCAACAAAATATTTCATTCTCCTCCGGCCGATAATAAAAATCTGTATTATCTCAAAAAGTGACATCACCCTGGGTGGCGTTAACGTGAACTAATAAAAATATTTCACTTTTTCCCTTCGCTCGGAGCTTGACAACAAAAATCTTAATTATCTCAAAAAAAAGCATTTTCTAATCATCATCTTGTGTGACTGTATTTTCAATTCTGGAATTGTCTGGGTTCTCGTATTAATGGATTGTCTGTATATCCTTAGATAAACTTCCCACCTGTTACCTATCATATTTTTTTCATTGTCTCTAAACTTTTATTTCTTCAACCAAATTGATAACAAACTTCCATCCTTCGTGGACACCGAAGTAGGTCGTGCTTGACTTGATATTTTTGACATCAGATATGTGTCAGCTGAGCGTGTGTGCTTATGACCGGGTTTTCGTATTATATTTTTCTTTTTTCTTTCCTTCCTTTTCTTCTTCTTTTCTTTCTTTTCTCCCAGATCGCTTGAACGCAATTAAAAAATTATTCCTAATTTGAAATATTTTTCAGCTCTAAATAATTATCAAATGGTTAACAAACCGAAAAAACAAATCATATATTTATGAATATCTCTTTTCAGTTTTCTAATTATGCATGGTGCCACAATTATTATTATTATTTATTATTTGTGTATGTTATGTTTCCTGCTTTCTATCATGTAGAGCCGGGTCCAAACTAGGGTCCAAACTAGGGTCCTTAGACACCTATAGGAGAATTATCATTTAATTGATAGCACTTTTCTTAGTATATGGGATGTTCCTAGCAGGGCGATCTTCTGGGCAACTTGCATCTTGATGTTACTTGGGACACTGTTTATAAAATTGTCCATCCCTTTTCTCACGAGGTCGACAGTTTCATTATATTTTCCTTATATCCTGCATTTCGGTTAATTTCTATCCTTGATTATGTGACAGTGATAGGATCTGGTTGCTGGGCTTTGGTCCTGGGTTGCAATTCTGGTTCAGCTTTCAAACCAGTTCTCCTCAGACACTGATGGATTTTCTCTTGATCCACATCTACTTCTTTTGATCTTTTTTTAAATATTTGCAATGCGACGCCTTGTCCTCCCAATTTTTTTCTAATTTCATTTGTCCATGTTGATTCACTGTTTTATTCGTTTGGCGTAGATGGCATTCGCTTCGTTTTGTGTTGGTAGAGTTTCAGGAACACTAAGCTGTTTCTTGAAGAGTGCAGCTTCTTTAGTTGATGGAATGGATTTAATGTTTTACTATTTGCAGGAGAGGGTCATAGTTTTTAGTGAGATAGGATTCCAATCCGATTGTTGTAGTTTTACCATTCTAATTGTTCTTTTTCTAATTATTATTATTATTATTATTATTATTATTATTTTCTTTTTCTTCCTGTTGTTCGTGTTCTTTTTTCCTTCTTTTTCCTCTTGTTTTGTTCTTGCTCTTGTCCGTCATTATTATTGTTGTTGTTGTAATTGTTGCTGTTGTTGTTTTTTTGTTGTTGTTGTTGTTGTTGTAGTTTTCTTGTTCTTGTTCTTGTTGTTCTTCTGCAAATTATTCATCAGCAAATCCTCCTTCGTCAAATTCATCTTCATCAGATAGTTCGCTTCTTCTTCTTCTTCTTCTTCTTCTTCTTGAAATTCTTGTTCTTCTTTAACGCCTTCAATTTCTTCTTCTTCTTCTTCTTCTTCTTCTTATTATTATTATTATTATTATTATTAATAAGTTATTATCGCCCTTCTTCTTCTTCTTCTTCTTCTTCAAATACTTGTTCTTCTTTAACGCCTTCAATTTCTTCTTCTTCTCCTTCTTCTTCTTCTTCTTCTTCTTCTTATTATTATTATTATTATTAATAAGTTATTATCGCCCTTTTTCTTCTTTTCCTTCTCCTTTTTCTTCTTCCTCTTTTTCTTGCCTCTCCCTCCTCCAATTATTTTTATCGTATATTTTCCTCTTTTGTACGTTCTTTCTCAAGTTTTTGATATCATGGCAATTCACAGATAATAGATATGATGGCAAAAACAATGGTCAGCAAACTTCTTCTCCTAATCATTTCTTTCTTTCTTTTTCTTTTTCTTTCCTTCTTCTCTTCCTCTTTTAATCATTTTTCTTTCTTTTTCTTTTTTCTTTCCTTCTTCTCTTCCACTTTTAATCATTTTTCTTTCTTTTTCTTTTTTCTTTCCTTCTTCTCCTCATCTTTTAATCATTTTTCTTTCTATTTCTTTCCTTCTTCTCTTCCGCTTTTAATCATTTTTCTTTCTTTTTTCTTTCCTTCTTCTCTTCCTCTTTTAATGATTTTTCTTTCTTTTTCTTTTTTCTTTCCTTCTTCTCTTCCTCTTTTAATCATTTTTCTTTCTTTTTTTCTTTCGTTCTTCTCTTCCTCTTTTCATCATTTTCTTTCTTTTTCTTTTTTCTTTCCTTCTTCTCTTCCTCTTTTCATCATTTTTCTTTCTTTTTCTTTTTTCTTTCCTTCTTCTCTTCCTCTTTAATCATTTTTCTTTCTTTTTCTTTTTTCTTTCCTTCTTCTCTTCCTATTTTAATCATTTTTCTTTCTTTTTTCTTTCCTTCTTCTCTTCCTCTTTTAATCATTTTTCTTTCTTTTTCTTTTTTCTTTCCTTCTTCTCTTCCTCTTTTAATCATTTTTCTTTCTTTTTCTTTTTTCTTTCTATCTTCTCTTCCTCTTTTAATCATTTTTCTTTCTTTTTTCTTTCCTTCTTCTCTTCCTCTTTTAATCATTTTTCTTTCTTTTTTCTTTCCTTCTTCTCTTCCTCTTTTAATCATTTTTCTTTCTTTTTCTTTTTCTTTCCTTCATTTTCTCTTCTTTTCTTTTTAATCATTTTTCTTTCTTTTCTTTTTTTTTCTTTCCTCTTCTCTCCTCTTTTTAATCATTTTTCTTTCTTTTTCTTTTCCTTCTTCTCTTCCTCTTTTTAATTATTTTTTCTTTTTTCTTTTTCTTTCCTTCTTCTCTTCCTCTTTTAATCATTTTTTCTTTTTTTTTCTTTTCCTTCTTCTCTTCCTTTTTTTAATCTTCTTTTTCTTTTATTTTTTTTCTTTTTTCTTTCCTTCTTCTCTTCCTCTTTTAATCATTTTTTTTTTTTTTTTTTTCCTTCTTCTCTTCCTCTTTTAATCATTTTTCTTTCTTTTTTTTCTTTTCCTTCTTCTCTTCCGCTTTTAATCATTTTTTTTCTTTTCTTTTTTCTTTCCTTCTTCTCTTCCTAATTTTTTAATTTTTTTTTTTCTTCTTCTCTTTTCTTTTTTCTTTCTTTTTTTTCTTTCCTTCTTCCTTCCTTTTAATCATTTTTTTCTTTTCTTTTTCTTTTTCTTCTCTTCCTCTTTTTTCATTTTTCTTTCTTTTCCTCTTCTTTCTTCATTTTTAATCATTTTTTTTTTTTTTCTTTCTTTTTTCTTTTCCTTCTTCTCTTCGGCTTTTAATTATTTTTCTTTCTTTTCCTTTTCTCTTCTTCTCTTCCTCTTTTTAATCCTTTTTCTTTTTTAATTTTTTTTTTTCTTTTTTCTTCTTCTCTTCCTCTTTTAATCATTTTTCTTTCTTTTTTCTTTTTTTTTCCTTCTTCTCTTCCTCTTTTAATCATTTTTTTCTTTCTTTTTCCTTTTTCTTTCCTTCTTCTCTTCCTCTTTTAATCATTTTCTTTTTTCTTTCTTTTTTTTTTTCCTTCTTCTCTTCCTCTTTTAATCATTTTTCTTTCTTTTTCTTTTTCCTTCTTCTCTTCCTCTTTTAATCATTTTCTTTCTTTTTTTTTTTTTTCCTTCTTCTCTTCCTCTTTTAATCATTTTTTTTTTTTTTTTTTTCCTTCTTCTCTTCCTCTTTTAATCATTTTTTCTTTTTTTTTTTTTTCTTTCCTTCTTCTCTTCCTCTTTTAATCATTTTTCTTTCTTTTTTTTTTTTCTTTCCTTCTTCTCTTCCTCTTTTAATCATTTTTTTCTTTTTCTTTTTCTTTTTTTCTTTCCTTTTTTCATTTTCCTTTTTTTTTCTTTTTTCTTTTTTTTTCTTTTTCTTTCCTTCTTCTCTTCTTTCTTTTTAATCATTTTTCTTTCTTTTCTTTTTTTTTCCTTCTTCTCTTCCTCCTTTTAATCATTTTTCTTTCTTTTCTTTTTCCTTTTCTCTTCCTTTAATCATTCTTCTTCTTTTAATTTTCTTTTCTTTCTTTTAATCATTTTTTTTCTTTTTTTTCCTTCTTCTCTTCCTCTTTTAATTTTTTTTCTTTCTTTTTCTTTCTTTCTCTTCCTCTTTTAATCATTTTTCTTTCTTTTTTCTTTCCTTCTTCTCTTCCGCTTTTAATCATTTTTCTTTCTTTTTTCTTTCCTTCTTCTCTTCCTCTTTTAATCATATTTCTTTCTTTTTCTTTTTTCTTTCCTTCTTCTCTTCCTCTTTTAATCATTTTTCTTTCTTTTTTTTTTTCTTTTTCTTCTCTTCTTCTCTTTCTTTCTTTTTTTAATCTTCTTTTCTTTTTTTCATTTTTTCTTTTTTCTTTCCTTCTTCTCTTCCTCTTTTAATCATTTTTCTTTCTTTTTCTTTTTTCTTTCCTTCTTCTCTTCCTCTTTTAATCATTTTTCTTTCTTTTTCTTTTTTCTTTCCTTCTTCTCTTCCTCTTTTAATCATTTTTCTTTCTTTTTCTTTTTTCTTTCCTTCTTCTCTTCCTCTTTTAATCATTTTTCTTTCTTTTTTCTTTCCTTCTTCTCTTCCACTTTTAATCATTTTTCTTTCTTTTTTTTTTTCTTTCCTTCTTCTCTTCCTCTTTTAATCATTTTCTTTCTTTTTTCTTTTCTTTCTTCTCTTCATTTCTTTTTAATCATTTCTCTTTCTTTTTCTTTTTTTTTCTTTCCTTCTTCTCTTCCCTTTTTTAATCATTTTCTTTTCTTTTTTTTTTTCTTTCCTTCTTCTCTTCCTTTTTTTAATCATTTTTCTTTCTTTTTTTTTTTCTTTCCTTCTTCTCTTCCTCTTTTAATCATTTTTCTTTCTTTTTCTTTTTCTTTTCCTTCTTCTCTTCCTCTTTTAATCATTTTTCTTTTCTCTTTTCATTTTTTTTCTTTCCTTCTTCTTCTTCCTTCTTTTTAATCATTTTTTCATTTTTTTTTTTTTTTCTTTCCTTCTTCTCTTCCTCTTTTAATCATTTTTCTTTCTTTTCTTTTTTTTTCTTCTTCTTCTTCCTCTTTTCTTCATTTTTTTTTCTTTCTTCTTTCTTCCTTTTTTCTTTTTCTTTCTTTTTTTTCTTTCCTTCTTCTCTTCTCTTTTAATCATTTTTCTTTCTTTTTTTTTTTTCCTTCTTCTCTTCCTTTTTTAATCATTTTTCTTTCTTTTTTTTTTTCTTTCCTTCTTCTCTTCCTCTTTTAATCATTTTTTCTTTTTTTTTTTTTCTTTCCTTCTTCTCTTCCACTTTTAATCATTTTCTTTTTTTTTTCTTTTTTTTTTTCCTTCTTCTCTTCCTCTTTTAATCATTTTTTTTTCTTTTTTCTTTCCTTCTTCTCTTCCTCTTTTAATCATTTTTCTTTCTTTTTCTTTTTTCTTTCCTTCTTCTCTTCCTCTTTTAATCATTTCTCTTTCTTTTTCTTTTTTCTTTCCTTCTTCTCTTCCTTTTTTGATCATTCTTCTTTCTTTTTTATTTCCTTCTTCTCTTCCTCTTTTAATCATTTTTCTTTCTTTTTCTTCTTTCTTTCCTTCTTCTCTTCCTCTTTTAATCATTTTTCTTTCTTTTTTTTCCTTTTTCTTTCCTTCTTTTCTTCCTATTTTTTTAATCTTTTTTCTTTCTTTTTCTTTTTTCTTTCCTTCTTCTTCTTCCTTTTTTGATCATTCTTCTTTCTTTTTCTTTTCTTTTCTTCTCTTCCTCTTTTAATCATTTTCCTTTTTTGTTTTTCTTCTTTCTTTCCTTCTTCTCTTCCTCTTTTAATCATTTTTCTTTCTTTTTTCTTTCCTTCTTCTCTTCCTCTTTTAATCATTTTTCTTTCTTTTTCTTTTTTCTTTCCTTCTTCTCTTCCTCTTTTAATCATTTTTCTTTCTTTTTTCTTTCCTTCTTCTCTTCCTCTTTTAATCATTTTTTTCTTTTTTCTTTTTTTTTTTCCTTTTTCTCTTCCTCTTTTAATTATTCTTTTTTTCTTTTTTTTTCTTTTTTTTTTCCTTCTTCTCTTCCTCTTTTAATCATTTTTCTTTCTTTTTCTTTTTTCTTTCCTTCTTCTCTTCCTCTTTTAATCATTTTTTTCTTTTCTTTTTCTTTCCTTCTTCTCTTCCTCTTTTAATCATTTTCTTTCTTTTTCTTTTTTCTTTCCTTCTTCTCTTCCTCTTTTAATCATTTTTCTTTCTTTTTCTTTTTTCTTTCCTTCTTCTCTTCCTCTTTTAATCTTTTTTTTTTTTTTTTTTTTTTTTTTCTTTCCTTCTTCTCTTCCTCTTTTAATCATTTTTTCTTTTTTTTTCTTTTTTTTCTTTTTTTCTTTTCTTTCTCTTCTTCCTCTTTTAATCATTTTTCTTTCTTTTTTTTTCTTTCCTTCTTCTCTTCATTTTCTTTCTTTTAATTCCTTTTTTCTTTCTTTTTTCTTTCTTTTTTTCTTCTTCTTCTTCCTCTTTTAATCATTTTTCTTTCTTTTCTTTTTTTCTTTCCTTCTTCTCTTCCTCTTTTAATCATTTTTTTTTTTTTTCTTTCCTTCTTCTCTTCCTCTTTTAATCATTTTTTTCTTTTTCTTTCCTTCTTCTCTTCCTCTTTTAATCATTTTTTTCTTTTTTTTTTCTTTTCCTTCTTCTCTTCCTCTTTTAATCATTTTTTTCTTTTTTTTTTTTTTTTCTTTCTTCTCTTCCTCTTTTAATCATTTTCTTTCTTTTTCTTTTTTCTTTCCTTCTTCTCTTCCTTTTAATCATTTTTTTTTTTTTTTTTCTTTCCTTCTTCTCTTCCTCTTTTAATCATTTTTCTTTCTTTTTCTTCTTTCTTTCCTTCTTCTCTTCCTCTTTTAATTATTTTACTTTCTTTTTCTTTTTTCTTTCCTTCTTCTCTTCCTCTTTTAATCATTTTTCTTTCTTTTTTCTTTCATTCTACTCTTCCTATTTTAATCATTTTTCTTTCTTTTTTTTTTTTTTTTTCTTCTCTTCCTCTTTTAATCATTTTTTTTCTTTTCTTTTTTTTTTTTCTTTCCTTCTTCTCTTCCTCTTTTTAATCATTTTTCTTTCTTTTTCTTTTTCTTTTCCTTCTTCTCTTCCTCTTTTCATCATTTTCTTTCTTTTTTTTCTTTCTTTCTTCTCTTCCTCTTTTAATCATTTTTCTTTCTTTTTCTTTTTCTTTTTCCTTCTTCCTCTTCTTTCTTTTAATCATTTTTCTTTTTTCTTTTTTCCTTTTTTCTTTCTTCTTCCTCTTTTAATCATTTTTCTTTCTTTTTTCTTTCCTTCTTCTCTTCCGCTTTTAATCATTTTTCTTTCTTTTTTCTTTCCTTCTTCTCTTCCTCTTTTAATCATATTTCTTTTTCTTTTCTTTTTTTCTTTTCCTTCTTCTCT